GGATGTAGGAGTCTGTCCTGGCATGGGGATCCGAGGTAATCTGACCAAGGGTATCTAGGAGCTCAACGGAGGGGAAAGGAGGACACCGCTTTGGATAAGTTGCCTGGTCGGCAGCTCTTGATCACCAAGGTCAAGATGCGGTCACGAATGGAGCTCTTGAGCCGAGCGCACGTTATTCTTAGATTTACAGATAAACGCGACTCCGGCGACGTCGTGTCAATGGCCTCGGGTAATGAGAGGTTGTGCTCCTCGGCCCCGGCGTGATCGTTGACACTGGGCCTAAACCTCCACTGAAAGTTTCGGAACGCTTCTGCGCGAATTTGGTTCGACGTTGATGAAGCCGGCTCATTCTGATCGGCCTGTAAACGTGAGTGTGAGGTTCCTGCTTCTGAAGGTCCTCCAAACTCGAAGGGTACTGTTGTGTTGTACGTATCGAGGAATTGAAGGTCCATATCATCTAGCTCGATAGCGGCATCGAAGGGTACAGTCGTGGGAATAGGGGTTGTCCAAGACCCAGAAACAAGGCCCAAATCTGGAAAGTCTGAGAAGAGCAGGTTGACGTCAAAGTTTGGGTTTGGACTTTGCGCTGAAGTACGTCGTCAGTGTTGAGAGGTGTCACATGCGTGTTCATAGACCTACCTTGCGACTGAATGGATGTGCGCATGGGAGTGAACGTTCCCGAAGTTGCATGAGCCAACAGACCGCTATGGTGTCCTGACTGAGGAGCATAGAGAGAAGTGCCGGTGGGTGCGCTCGATGTGGCCGCCATGCCGATGCCCAGACCGTGAGAATCGACGGTGGATTGTCCGTCCTGGGCGAGGATGCCCGATGAGACGTCTGCCTCGGACTGCATGTTGGTATCCATGTCACTCCCCTCATCCGATGAGTCCCCATTCTCAAGCCCTTCTGCAGGGTTCGACCACCGACAGTCGAGACCCTTTTCCACACAGCGAGAGCAAGGCTTGGTCTCGGTACAGCGGAGGTGATTGGAAGCACAGGCACGGCAAGCCTTGGTCACCCTGTTCGGGGTCGCATCGACTCCCTGAAGCCTATGCGCCGTGCCCGACTGGTCAGAGCCGGTATTCGCATGACTTGCGGCGTGCCTTTTGAGCAGGTCTCTGGTATACTTTTAGCCGCCGAGGTCCCTGGCGCCCAAGCCCGGAGTTGGATCATGGCGATCCACTTACGTGCGAGTGAAGGCCTTGAAGCAAATGGTACACTTGTGCGGCCTGTTCTGTGTATCTGCAAGGAGGCATTAGCGAGTGACCAACTTCGTGCTCGCGGTCAGGAGCCCTGGCGTTTCTCACGTGAGCGGACATGGCGGGCAAGGTGATCCAATCTCTTGTACTGCCGTTGACACTGACCACACTGGAACATGTTAGTCATGGCTGCTTCGGTTCGGGCCCTTCTGAGGCGCCTCGTATGCTGCGTATCTTCTGAATGTCGGGTCATTCGGGTCGGGTTCTGGGGAAAGACGAGTGTTGGTGATGAAGGTTACGGGATGTGGGGGAATGCGGGGAGATTGCGGGGGATTGTGTGTGGAGGCTGATAAAATGCAGTGACTATGCCTTCTTCAGCTTTGAGCATTGTCTTTATTCGCCTCGCAGTCGCTGGCAGAGCAGCTGGTGTTTTGTTCCCCTTTCGGCGTAGTGACAAGTAGCGACAATGGTACTTGAATGTTTGTATTGGGCTGAAGCTCATCACACTCACGAACCGGTCCCTGGAAGTGTATCAAGGTGTTTATCTATTGAAGCTCAGCGACCACCATGACTCAACATGTTCCCCTACCACGATTTCTGTGCCCCAGTCGTACAGACGCGATCTCATTTGATGCAGTACAGAAGATATGTGCCCCCATGCCCTGGCGTTATCCAGAGAGTCCACTATACAATGTCCCCGGTACCCAAGGATTCAGTAGCGAAATTCGTCCAAAGACGACCAAGAACCAGGGAGCGGTCAGCCTAGAGTACCAGGCGCCATGGAGGAAACGACAGTCGTCGCCATGTCTGCCACAGCAAGGATAGGTAGAGGACAGTCTCCTCCAGCGCAGTCAACTTGTTGCTCGGTACGCACGTCGGCGTGTATCCATGGCAGATGCCAAGAAGCAGACAAGTGACACATCCTGAAGGCCAAGATCAAAAACACTGTCTTGATGGAGAGGTACAAGGGATTGAAAGTCTTTTCGTCAGGGCGAGTCCGTCGAGACCTTGGCCTAGGTCGTGCGCCGCCTGTCATGGGAGACTGCTTCTCACCTGTGCGTTGCTGGTTCGATTTACCTGTGTTGGAATCACTCTCGGACGGAGAGAAATTCGAATTATTCCCTCTACTGTCCGGCTCAAAGCCAGACATCGTGTTGACCGGGGGCACGATGCCATAGCATCTCTCTATGGAAAAGTCCAGAACGGACACATAATCGGCCAGCTCATCCTGTATAGCAAACAGAGAAACGTTGTTCTCCCCTTTCTCTCTCTCCTTCCGCCTGCAGACCCAGCCGTCATAGACGTCAAAAACAAGGTCGTAGTAGGCAAGGCGCGCCGAGGGGATGGATGTGGATCCTCGGCCGTCCAAGTAGGAGCTTCCGTATATCTGGCAGAATCGCCTGTTGAACATGGTGTTGAATACATGAACATCATGCAGCAGCCGCGCCTGAAAGTTTCTACGATTGAGAGTGGTGCCTTGGTGATTAGGGCTGTAGAGATAGTCGAGTCTCCTCCACATGACCCAGGCATTCGAGCACTGCCCTTCTTGGGCCGCCAGCACGCTCGGGCCGCAATTTTGGCGAATCATGGCCATCGCCTTGTCGCTTCTGCCTCTCATGGAGTTGACATGCGGTTCCCGTATCGTGGTGACGAAGAAGAGGTTGTGACGTTTGAGGATGCGCCCGACACGGACTGCCCATTCATCCCAATTTTCACGTCCTTTGAGCTTGTCGGCGTTGGGCAGCACATCTTCGGGAGAGCTTGCGCTGCAGTTCATCTTGAGAAGCGGCCACTTCCTGGTGCCACTCAAATTGGAAGGTATACGAGTCTGACTGTGTTTGAGAAGGTGTCTGCTAAATGTAGACCATCGAATTATGTGTTGAGTGGTCGGACACGATGACTGAGGATGGCATTTTATATATATCAGCGGTAAAAATGACTTCTCGTGGTATCTCCGAAGCCTCTCGACAGTCTGCCAGCCGGACCTCAAGGTTCTGAACAGCCTTGTTGTGGGAAGTATCACCTAAGGGGGTGGTCTAGCAGCCCAACCACTTTGCATCCAGCAAGGTTGTCACATGTTTGGGCCGGACATGACGGGCATGCAATGGTCGCACGAACATACATGAATCGAGTCCCAGGTATGGGAAGACCAGGATCGATAGGCCCGCATTGCGATATCACAAGACACTTGCTTTGTGGTCGTGATTCAGCAAAGGGAAGGCCTTGAGTGAAGGGCGAAGAAGAAGAAGAAGAAGATGACCTCTGGATGACCTTTGGCCCCACCAAATATGTCGACCAATCATCGCGTGATGAATCCTCAACCACAATGACAGATTGAGCTCCCGCCAAAAATCGCCGAGGTCCATCAATTGCCAATCTCAAAATCGCATTTCGACTTTTGTCGGCTCCTGGAACATCCCACGAGAAACGTCCATAGCCCTCCCCGCCTAGCATCCATTCCCGACAGCACTTCAAAATGGCCGACCCAGCAGCAGCCCCGGCAAAGCCGCAGCGCAAATCCTCGCCCGTCAAGAATGCCTACCTAATCCTCTACAACGCCCTCTCGGCCATCGCCTGGCTCGTCGTGCTCGGCCGCACTGTTGCGCTCTTCTACCTCCGCGGGCCCGACTTTGTCCACCTCGGCGTCGGCGACTGGACACGATGGACCCAGACCATGGCCGGCATGGAAGTCCTGCACGCCCTCCTCGGTGCGTTCCCCCCTGCTCCTCCCCCTCCTCCCAAGAAGAGGGCCCGTCGGCGGCAGCCTTCGCTAACAGCGACCTCCCAGGCGTCGTCCGCTCACCCGTCCCGACAACCCTCATGCAGGTCCTGAGCCGCTACCTCCTCGTCTGGGGCGTCGTCTGGCCCTTCCCCTGGCTCGCCCGCAGCCCCTTTTACACCTCGATGCTCCTCGCCTGGAGCGTCACCGAGGTCATCCGCTACTCCTACTTTGCCCTGACCCTGAGCGGCCTGCAGCCCAAGGCCCTCGTCTGGCTGCGCTACAACACCTTTTTCCTGCTCTACCCCATCGGCATCGCCAGCGAGTGCGCCCTCATCTACCTTGCCGCCGAGCCCGCCAAGGCCTACGGCGAGCTCGTGCCGTATCTGAGCTACGCCATCCTGGCCATCTACGTCCCTGGTATGTCGACGACTAGAAGTGCGCTTAAAAAGCAAAGTACTGACCCTTCCAGGTTCCTATATTCTGTACACGTACATGATGAAGCAGAGGAGAAAGGTCATGCGCAGCTTGAAGGCTGAGCAGGTCGGGTCTGCCAAGACCCAGTAGAGGGAGTCTTCACGATTTCGGGTTTTCACAGTTCCGCATCCACAAAGGATATGCATCCAAAAAGGGGGCAGGATAGAGTAGACGGCAACAGTGCCCCTGGGCTATAGAAACAGGCCGGTATGAAACGGAAACAAGATACAGCAAGGCCACCACCGGCCAGACCAGAGATCGTAGGAAACACATAATCATAATCGCCATTCACGCCCATGGATTCTCCTCCTGACCCAGCACCTTCTCCTCCATCGGCCTGCGCTCCTCTTGTCGCGACGAGCCGTCCTCCTCGGCCGACTGTTTCAGCGCGGGCGCGTCCTCGACGCTGCTCTCGTACCACGCGTTCCTCGTCCACGTCGCGATCAGGTCCGTCGCGTCCCGCGCCAGCGCTTCGTAGCCGGGGTTGTTCTTCCTCTCAAACATGGCCATGTGCGCCTGCGTCTCCTCCTCGGCCTTGTCGTTGACGGCCGGCTTCCAGACGCCAGCGTCGCCGCGCTTGGGCAGGTTGCAAAAGGTGCGGTCCTTGCCGAGCACGGTGCCGACGACGCTGACATCCTTGGCGGCGGCGCCGCGGCCGAGGCGCGTGTACAGGTTGGCGAAGCCGACGTCGAGTTCCTGGGGGGACCTTGGTCATGTACTGCACGCGCTTTCTGCAGCTCGCCGCCCTGGGCGAGGCAGCCGACGAACTCGAGGTGCGACGTCCGCCCACGTCCAGCCCTG